CCTCTCATGCCCTCTAGGAAGTTTATTTATGTTCTCCAAGCGGCAGGCCAACCCTTTGAATCCGCAGCATTCTGCGTCAGTCCCGAACATGCAGCTCTTAAAGGGATCCCATTCGGTTTCCACATCGGTGGTTATCACATGGATCTGTTCACACCGTCGTGCGATGTTGTTTGCAAATTTCTCTCTCGTGTCCGCCGTAGATAATGTTTCCCATTTGATTCTCCGGTTGCTTCTACCACCTGATCTTCGTATGGTACTCCATTTCTTACAACACAGTGTGCCAACAACAAGGTGATGATCGGTTGATAGCGCTGCGTTTCTCTTAACGCGAACAACCATTACTGAGCGTCTGTAGTCAGACGATGCGATTATCAAATCGGTCATCGACTTCTGTGCACAATTTTCCCGTTACCAGGTGTACTGATGCATTTTTCGATGCTCGAAGAAGGTGTTCATAATGGAGAATCCGTTGTTTGCACAAAACCGTAACAACTTCATGCCGTTAGGGTCATGGCGTCGCTGGGGCCGTTTTTTCCAATCACGCTGTTCCACTTTTCAGCGTCTACTCCGACATGCGCATTATAATCATCCGTTAGAGAGACTCCGTAGTCGCACTTCGTACAGAGCACACTGCACTTCCTCAAGAAAGAACTCATATTCTCCCTTTATATTGGGCGCATATACCTCCAACCGCATATACCCGTCATAGTTCTAGCCTCTTATATTTTCAATCAAGATTGACACCATTCCGCTGATAGGCTTCCATACAGTGATTCTGTCAGCCAGATTGAGTTCTACCAGAACACCATATTCGGCCATAGCGCACATCGTGATGTCGACGCCTGAGCAGAGGTTCAAAATTCCAGAACGTTTTAGCTGGTGGACAAGAATCCAGTTTACCGAGTTGATTCCTTGCGGCGCTCTCAACTAGTTCCTGTTCTTTCCCTCTCTGTGACGAAATGTTACAGTTTGGGACTGTGACCTCCAACTGTCGGTATCATTCCCGTGGAACCCTGTCCGATGTATTGTAGTTTCATTGTTCTGTCAAATTCATCTTCAGAATGTGTACCAGCTGCGTTGCTGACTTGTGTCTACGTCGTCTTCTTGTCTATGCTTTTTAACCGTCATCGTGCTACTACTCTCCCAGTTACCAGAATGTTCTGAAGCTTGTACTGATCACCGAATTTTCACAGTTTGCTTCAGTTACCCCGCAGCTTGAGCGGCCATTAATAATCTTGGCAAGAGCCGAGCATAAGGTTTGATAACGGCGTAACTGCAGCCGTAAGTAGCAGATGGTTAATTTTTGCGGGATGCCTCGCTACGGTTCCCAAGCCTCTTCCTTTCTCATTCGAACTTGCGTGCATTAACGGCGGATGGGTATTTTATTGTTTTGTGTTGTTACTACGTTTCGGTTGACGTACGCTGGTAAAATGTTTTTTCAGGATCTCGTGAAGAGTCACTTGTTGTACGCGGTTAGGGAGGAAGTGGAAATACTACGAGAGAAGATCGTCGAACTAGAGAAGAAAGTTGTTCGTCTTGAGGCAGAGAACAAATTCTTGAGGGACCATGTTTCCCCCGAAGTAATTGCTCAGCTCTCCGGAGGAACTGTTTACCTGTTGACTGGTTCTGGCGTTTCGTCATCGGCCGTTTCTCAGTTTCAGCCGGTTGCCGTCTGCACAGCAGTTACCACCGCTACAACCGACATGTCGAATGCGTCCACCGGCAGCGTCAGTCTTACGCCACCGTTTGCGACCTCTTCTCCGATCCTCAAGCGACCAAGTGTGGAAAAGGGTGCTGTGATTTGACAGGTTTTCAGGCGACCTGCCGTCCAGTCGCTTTGCGCGATGCTCGAGGTCTGTGTGACCGGCTTTTCAGCTCAGTAACTGGCCAACTGCGGTTTGTAAGTGGTCGTCGCCGATGCACTGTGCGAATGGATGTTCTGAAATGGTGTGACATTGATTATGTAGAACTTGGTCGCTTTGGCACTCCGTTCGCGATTTGGCTCTCTTGACAGATGTCCTTTTTCTCGGTCATAGTGCTTTATCCTCTTGGCTGTTACTGTAGTACTGTCACGTCACGGTTGTAGCATACGGACGACTTCATATTAACGCATAAAGCCGGCCCTCTTCTTTGTTACGCTTGTTAGTCAGTGCATATCGTCCGATTATAAATGGAATGAATGTGAACGTCTCTGTCTATTGCAGGATTTCTATCCAGTTCGAGATCGCCATTTAAAAAGCTGGCGTTTGCATGTTGCTGAATTGTAGTAAAGTGAATTGTAGTATTTTTCTCTTCATAATGCATGACAGAAAACAAAGCAGCCCGAGTTAGTCCATGTAGTGAAATAATGTAAACCCTATGATTGACTTTTTGCCTTATGGTTCAAGCACATTCAAGCATTAGTTCGAGATATGGAAGATGCTAAAGTCTGCTGGAAAAGCTTCTGCTGTTGCAGATGTGTAACAGTCTTAAAATGGTCGTCTATTTATTCATTCCGTTTAATGTTATTTGCACTGGTTCGCTCAACCTATTCTGTGTGAAGCCGCCACATTATTTGGTTTTTCTTTCAGTTTTTCATGTCACTGTGAGACTGATGGATTATAACCGTTTTGAATGTTATTATTGGTTTCCTTGGTAATACAAATTCGAAATTGTTGTTCTCTCACCGGCTGACTTGTTTAGTACCTGTAAACAGAAGCTTTATTTGCAACTTTTGCCATTCTTCATATGCTAAATACCGTGCACTGACGATGTTTCATTTCTTTATTACGCGAGAAATAATTGTCTTTAGATATCAGAAACGATAGCGATCGCAAAGCTACAGAATCCGATGATTAATGTCTGACAAGCAAGCGTTAATCTTAAGTACGGGAATTATAATTTCTTATAATAATCATGAATTAGTATTTAGTAAGTGAGCATAGGGATGAAGATCGACTTGAACCCCGAGAGCTTAGTCTTCAGACTCAACAGTGGTTTGGGCTAGTTCACACACAACACTACTTGCTATTCCAATCCGCCGGTCGATCTTTTCATCCCATCTTCCATCATCAATAACCACGATCTAGAGGCACTTGAACTTCTACACTGCTTCTCCGTTAATCTGAAGAGAGCAACGGACAGGAGAACGGGAAAGTACTAGGCTTTTCATTGTACAGCCGCTCACACGCATACTGGCCACATCGCACTCGGCTGCGAACATTTCCAGGGAGAACTGTAGATCAGTTTCAGAAGATGCTAATAAAACAAGATCATCTGCAAACAGTAACCTTCTCGTCTTTCACCGATACGCTCATCGCCTTGGCTGCTCCTGACTATTCTATCCATGTAAAACAATCAAGAGACCGGACGGAACGCAGTCTTGGCGGAGATCAGTGCCAGCGTTGAAGGGTTTCGACTTAACGCCATTTACTCTGACGCAGCATCTGCTATCGATCTATAGTGATTGGATGATCAGTAGCAACTGGTCATCGATCCCATTTGTTCGTAAGCCTGCTGACTGACCTTGCGGCAGGTCCCAGTCATAGGTTTTCTCTAGGTCAACGAACCTCGTGTAAACCGGATGGGCGAACTCCCACGATTTTTTAACAGTTTGTAGGAAAGCGAAGATCTTATAAGTAATTCGGGCTGACCGGAAGCCGTACTGCTCGACTTGGCTTTCCGAGTCTTGTTTGTTTTGTACATGGATAAAATAGTCAGGAGCAGTCAAGGTGATGAGTGTATCGATATAGATAAGGAGGTTGCTGTTTGCAGACGACCTTGTTTTATTGGCATTTTTTGAAGCTGATCTACAGTGCTTCCTGGAAATGTTCGCAGCCGAGTGCGACGTGACCAGTATGCGTGTGAGCGTCTGTACAACGAAAAGCCTAGTACTTTCTCGTTCACTTGGCGGTTACGCTCTGCAAATGGATAAGCAGTTGAAAAGTTCACGTACCTCCAGGTCATGTTTACTGGTGATAATGAATAATGGAAAGTGATCGACCAGCAAATTTGAATCATCATTGGCGTTCTGCATGAACTGGCCGAAACCGTTGTGACTGAAGCAGATCTGCGTTTGAAGACGGCTGTTTGTAATCAAATCAGTTTTGATCCTCACACTCTCCTACAGCCAAGAGTAATAAGCCGACTGAAAAGCGTCGATCCTGGATAGACGGCTGAAATGGACCTTTTAAGATGAATTGTGGGGCTCACGCTTCTTGACATGGCCTAAAGTACAGAAATCCGAGGACTCAGTGCAGTCCCTGAATGTACGTATCGAGAAATCATAGCTGCGATCGCTTGAGCATGTGTTGTGAATGTTTCGAGAAAAGAAAACAAGACAGTTGCTACATGCTCAACCGGCCATCCAAAGAACACGAGTACGGTCAAGAATGGGCCGCAGGTGTACTTCGACGAAGTCTGCTACAACCTGAGGTTACATTCTGGGAGCTGAAATACTGGTACAGGATTAAGAATGTTGAAACCAGTGCCTGACGAGCCTGCTTCCGCAACGCTAAGGGATAGGTGGTCATCGATGTCTACTGACTAATCAGATTATTACTTTATTTACGCTGCAAAACGGAATTATTTAATACCTTGTTGCAAGCTGTAGATATTTTACTTTGCGTCAGCTGAGGAAGTAGTTTACTTATGAGCATTCTGCAGATGCCTTGATGCTTAGCAACGATACAGTCCAGCCAATTCAAGATGTAAATATGTTCCGGTGTTTTCAGGCGGAAACTTTCTCGCGATCAAATTTAGTTAGTCACTAGCTACTTATTGAACTTTATGTTGAGACCGAGTACTCGTCACGGTGAGCAGGACATTAATAATTTCGCTTTCGGTCAACAAAACGTCGCCCCACGTTTTCTTTCGACACAAGGCTTGCCGGTCAGTGGCCTCTGATTTTACGGCTACACGCAGATCTTTCAAATCTGACAAAAGCTACCAAGTCAAAAAATCGATTTAACAATAAATCAGATTCTCTGGGTAAAAACATTAGCAACAACATTTCGTATCCGTCGCAATATCCTGTCTTTTACATTGCTTTAAGTCACCCCCAGCGATTCCAGGATGCTAAATTGCACTTTCAGACTCAAATTTGTCGTCCTTGTTCCATGCAATTTTTTACCTGTTTTCTTCTGTACTTGCTGAAATTGTCAGCTTTTATTCGAGAACTTCCTTATGATCCTATGTAGCTCCAGATCTCTGTTTTATATTCTGAAAAATGGTTCGTCAGTGATATGATTCAAGCAGTGCAATCTGACATTAAACAGTGACACCAACATGTGTGTTCGGTGCTTTCATACGCAACAGAAATCACAGGTATGATCAGATAACACTGGCAACGTGTTCATTTTAATTTAAAAAACGATGACGATTCGACAAAATAAAAATCGAGCTTGAAACAATTCTTCAATCACTGTAGAAGTTTAGCGTCCACACGTGGATCAGCGGCGAAAACTGGACAGACGCACGGCGCTTGTCCGCGAATACCACCGGTGAGACAGTCGCTATGGCGACACTGGACGAGGTAAGCGAGCGAGTGACGTGTGCTATGTTCAACAGGTCGTCATCCAACGCGCACGGTTACATCTGTGCAGAATACCTCAAGTCATGGTCGCCCCGAACCGCTTCCTGACCGTCTCATAAACAACGTAACTAACACCGACCGCCGGCACAACCTTCATGAAGTTCGGCGTCAGTCCGCGATACAGGCCAGTCACACCCTCGTTGCGCAAGATGTACGTAAACTGTCCAACCATAGTCGATGGCTGATCGTAATAACGTGACGCTCCTACGCAAAGCAGCAGTTAATGTGCTCGGAACCCGTAAGGCCAGAAAAAACAGTAGTTACTGTTCGCCTGAAGGCGGGTGCGAACTAACGCCAAGGGATAACAGGCCAGCTGACCGCAGATGGTACTGGTCGTACCGCAACCGAGCAGAACAAGGATGCTCGGATCGACCTTTTCAGGATTCGCAGTAGCATACATTCTTTTCATCGTCTAAACAAGCTGCCGAAACTAGCAATGTCGGGAAAAAAAGAAAAGTCAGTATTCTTACATTTTCAATACGAACATGAGTCAGACAGAACGACGATGAGTCTGGTCACAACAATAAGTACATAAATCACAACTGCCAGCAGAAAAGGCACTGGACCTGAGAGCATGTTAGGAGAAATTCACGTCAGAGAAAGGGCACAAAAACGCGCTACCACTTTTACACTGTCTAATTCGACGCAGTACACAGCATATCTTCAGTCTATAGAAAGACATCGCACTCACTTAGGCAAACAATCCCTCTTCTAGCGCCCTCACCTTGTTTTCTAGAAACGGATATCGGGATCATTTAATCAATCCGATTCGCCTTCACCTCTTCACTTTTTCCCAACTTGAATTTGAGTGCAGAATCAGGCCATCCTTCCATTCATTCTTTACGTATATCGATAAATCCTTTCATTTCTAAAAAAGTAAAGCTTTCTCCCAAAAAGCTGAATCTGGAATCCATACAGTTCAAGCTGTTGAATCAGCGTTCTCACAGGCACACAAATTTTGCCTGAAGCCATATTTTCCATATTTTGAAGCGTAATATCATGCAAATGACGCATTAAAATTAACCCTAACATACTTCGGTGTACAAACCAGTGTCTCAGATGTCCAGTGGAAACATATGCAGACTGAACTTTGAAATATTACTCGTGACGAAAAGTGCATTAATTAAAAACTAAAATGACGTAAATGCACAAACGACATGGATAATAAGCTGCTTAAATGGCGTCAGCAGCGTTAAGACGGAAAGGTACAGTGCCAATCTTCGTAAAACTAGATCAGGTATATTTATATGCCCCGTAACAAACCCTAACTTTTCATGTTTCTTAAAAACATGTATATATAAATCAGTGGAAACACTACTCGAGATGAACAAGGTACTGCTATATGAAATAAACCGTTTGGCCATGGATTTCTGCACAACAGGTAAAAAATATTGTAAGGCTGTAGTATATTTAATTGTCTCCTCCCACAAACATCATAGAACAGCGGCGGCGCCATAATGGCTTAGCGGAAATATGCTTATCGATAGATGTCAGTAAAATGTTAACATTCTAACTTTTTTATTATCTGAATTGATTTTGCATTGTACATATAAGAGTTATGCTATATACTATGTGGTTGTTTCTTTCACTAGCACGGATCATATCAGGAAGCACAAAAACGACTTTTTACTTCACGACCAAGAATTTTAGCTGGGGAATTAGTACCGGGATGTTGTAAAGGTATAAAACCAGCAACAGCATAAGGCTCTAATGACAGGTGTAAAATAAAAAGAGGAATAGAACGAATAAGATAAACGCAACAGATTAGATGGCAGAAACTAAATTACTGAACATAAGATTCCAGCAATGTGATAACCTTGAAGTTATCTTCTTTCTTACACGGATTCTATCGAATGGCTGATTAACAATGACGTCTCGCATCATGAGACAGCAGTGGCGCCGTGACGGTCTAAAATATCTACGTCCTCGCTATTAATACGGCGTAGGTTGTCAATATTATGCTTCACAATGTGAGAATGTTCTTCATGCCCATGCTCAAACGCTGCAATATGTTTCTTTGCCGGTCTTAACCAGTCTTTGTGTGACACAGATGTAAATCTTTCGACAACGTTCGCAGTTCTGTTTGGTAACCTAGCCAGGTTTTAAGAAGACCCTCTGTTGTCAACTGTAGACGTTGCAAAGGGTGATTCCGTTGAAGTCCTAGAGATGACATCGAATTTCACTTTACGCAGATAACGATCGGCTAGTGGAAATAAATTCGAGTAAACTGGTAAAGATAAAGTAAGATTTCTGATGAGATGAGAGGTGAAGATTGTAACTTGAATGAAACAGATAACGTTGAAAAAAACCGCGATCGCAACCATTATTTTTACACATGCGATATCCATAAATGATCGTGGTTTCAGCTTTACATACCGATGGCAGGTGATAAGACCGCTTTTCTACGCAAGTCGAAGACAAAATTAGTGAACTATGATCGGGTAACACAAGCAAAACGCGCAAAATGACATTACATTTCCTTCTGTACATCAAAATAAAGAAAGGCTATGTGAATAATTCTCCGCCTTCAGTTTTCCGCAGGGAGCAAGGAACGGATCTCAATCGCTTCAAACATCCACGTTCTGCAGTTATCCGATCACACGTCACTAATATTGCCATGAACTTGTACAAAAGAGCGATGACTTATTCCAATCGCCAATTGGTAAGCACAACTGACATCCAAAACCTGTCACGCATGCTCAAAAATAATAGTTACGATCGCAATATCCTTTAAGATTTCCTCTTTCATCCAAAGATGTGATCTTCATTCCCATTTAAACAAAAGAGAAACTCTTTATAAACTCATCAAAACATGTTTTTAAGGAGATATGGCTGTTTTATTAAAGCTTACAAATATTAGTTTACAGGTATAAACTACGAGTTTTACAAATACTAGTAATTTAAGTAAATTTTTATTTGATTAAATAAATTTAAACAGTTCATTTCAGATTAAGGGAGTGCGCAAGCCCTGTTAAATCCGAAGCAAGATCCGCAATGATCTTGCATTTCAAAGTAGCGAGCCATCTGTGGGTAGGGTCAAATGTGGTGTAGTTGACCTCCCATTTTTTGAATGACGAGCTTCATTCTGAGGATACTGTATGGGACAAACAACTGAGCTGATAGAGTACCGCGGTAGAAAAACCAGTAGCAACTGAAGAACCAAAGCAGTAAACACGTGTATTCTTTCAGTTGAACACATGAGATGGGATCTGCCACCGCGGAACACATGATGCTAAAAAACCATTTCATAAAAAATGGGATGAAAGCAGCATCGTCCGCAAAGATGCCAACTGGCGGATAAAAAAATCTTGCTAGCAGACACGATGAAACGAACAAAAATCAAGACTGACCAGCAGGAAAAATCATACTAGATCAGTGCAGCATAATATAGGCCGTTACAAAACCAAACAGTCAATAAATTATATTTCTTGAACTCGTTGAATCTCTCATTACAAACTCATTACCATACTGTTGCAAACTTTCCTTCATACCCAAAGCAATCAAAACGTCTTACCATATGCACAGGGATGAACACTACAACAGACGATTTGCACGAAAGCCTGGTTTTAGTCATTTAGCAGATAGACTGTAGAGGTTTTCGAAAAATTTACATCGGTATGGGAAGAAACGGGCTAAAACTAGTCTACATAAACATACGGCAGTTTTCGAGCATAGACACAAAGAACATTCTCACACTGCGAAGCATGTCAGTGACAACCTACACCGTATTGATGGCAAAAATGAGAAGATCCTATACTGTGACAAGATCACTGCAAGTCTCATGATATGCGAATCCCCTTATAGTATTTGATTAAGTCTGCACGCATTAGAATTACTCGGTAAAGTTGTTTCACCTACTTCGAATCTCTTCCTGAATAATTTAGTTATACCGTCCAATCTTTCACGTTTCTTCTTTTTCGTTCATATTTTCCATTTCATTTCATCTTTTGTGCTTATTTTCTATTACCTATTTTTGTTGCTTACGCCGTATTTCTTCGCTGCGCTGCGCTAACTATTTCCTAATGATCTGCGTATATCGTTTATACATCAGTAGTTCTGTGCTGAAGAAAGAATTCTGCCGTGGGTTACAAAAACTTCGCGTTTCTCCACCCTTCTAATCGTCTCTTATTCTATCTACATAGTTCCCATTTTGCTACGAAAAGGCATAAAAACCTACCTTATGACAAGCAAGCTTTTGCTTTATTCGGTAATATGATGATGGTAAAACATCAAACAGTCCTAGCCTGATTAAATACACCGTAGACATCTAAGAGGAAACGAACAGGGCAATATCACTGAAATCCGGTTTTGCAGGAGTTATGCTGATGATCATAATTCAGTTTTTTAGTTGCATTCCAGTTTTCTACTGCAAAAACTTCCGGCAGAAAAAATGTGTTTAATTACTACAAGACGAAATTGCACGGCGTACTGCATCGATCCCTTACTCTCAGTCGCTTGCGGGTGGAGCATTTAAGCAGGCCATGACTTGTAGTGCTAGATACATTTCGCATCATTTCATTCGCTAAGACAACCTCTTGGTCATCACTAACGACATTTCACTATATCCAATGGTGAAGTTATCAATACGCAATTTAAAAAATATAACAGTGCCTGACAATGTGTTGTGGTTATCAAATTTATAAAACATGAACTCTTTTAACTTTAAGGCTGCCAAAGCCCAAAACTTAACACCTTCAAGCTCGTGATTCGAAAGTGTTCTTTACCCCTATGATATGCAGAAGCCTGGCTCAAAAAACCACGGTATGTGCCAACGGTTGTCGTAGTATAAAAAATAAACGAGAATCTGAAATACGATACATGGATTGTCCGTCTTACCTTGATTTCCACAATCGGAAACATCTGTGTCACAATATGTACATGACGCTTATACGATCAACCGGTAGAGTATTACTGCTGTTTCATATGAGGGTAATCACGTGATTCCCATATCTTGCAGACTAACGAGTTCTTATCACCTATCGCATTCGTTCATTCATTCAGTGAAATCCCCGATCCGCCTGTCGAAAGAATTAGCGCGTCTCTGTTTTTGGATGTTCGATACCATCCTTCGCTTATGCCGGTCTCGGGTTGTTTCCTGAATCACTGAAAAAGGACTTCAGAGCTCCCCGAAGAGCGGTAATGGTCATTTTCCGTATTAGTAGAATGGGAACAACAACGATCAAAGTGGCCTGTAGACTGAAGAAACAATCAACACCGATTCCAGCCATCTTTTACGTACAAAGTACATACACAGAGAGCAGTTTCTGAGCACTGGAGAAACCAGCATCGACTTAAGACCACTGTCGCTTTACACAGCGCACATCGTCAATCACTTGTGTTATTTCTCGCTAGGGTTCTCAAGAATGTGGAAGAACAGACATCAGATTGTGAATAGTTTATCTGCGAAACTGAGGGCGGCAAAACCTTCGTTGGTTTATTAATTTTTGTCAGTGGTTCTGCAGCAAGCTGAAAGTAGTTTCTATTCGCAAACGGTGACGGAATCATTCTGTGCTGATAGCAGCACCCGTTCCTCAATGCAAATAAATTTGAGTGACTGACTGATTTACTGATATGCTGTAATAGATGAAAGGCAAAGGAGGCAATTAGGCTTGAACCCACATTCTTTTGAGTGCCATTACATTGTTAATTTCGATAAGCTATGCTGGCTAACGCGACATAACTGCATCGAACAAATTTGTGCTAGGCACGAGTAAAGTTTGACAAAAAACGAATATTTCAACTTATAAACCCTTTTACAACCTACAACAAGTCTCTCAGCTGGGATATTTAACATCCCGTTTGTGTATAACTGAAAACGATGGAATCGCGGCGCTTAAACTGGTCGATTTTTCACACAGCATCGCAAAGATAATAGGACGTTTAGCCTGAGCAGCTTAGGCACACATATCTGTAAAGCTGATGTTTGTAGGTACTGTGAAGAAATACAGAGCGTATTAGGTCAATTAAGGTAGATAACGCATGATTCATGCAAGTCCATATTTCACGGTGCACTGCACTGTTGCTAATTTTCTACGGGGTATTCAAGCATACTACGACTCCGTAGAGTTTGAACACATGCAGTGCTAGTTGCATCTCGCATCACTTTATCCGCTACTTCAAACTTGCTCTCATCATAAACGAAGTTACAGGAGCTGGCACTCCTCATATGCTAAAGCAAAGCAGCATAAATTGCTCGTACAATGGAGTATGCAGATTAACGCATTCTCCTCCGAGATCAGATTAAACGATGTACTAAACCGCCCTCTTGCTCCCAGTTGCCTCCAAGGGATAGCAGCTCCTGAAATATTTTTGATCGTGAGAGAGCCAGAGGTGCTTTAACCGACAATATGATGCGAGATGCGTCTGGCACTGCAGGTGCATAAATATTACGGATCAATGGCCCGTTTAAATGACTCCAGGCAACTAGGAGCAAGGGGGCGACACTATACGTCGTGAAATCTAGTCCTGGAGGGGTCATGCATTATTTAACATTCTCTGACGTACCAACAATTTATGATATTTACGCGGTTACAACTAGGATTTAGTTGCATTAGAAGCGAACGCGTAATTTCAAATAAATTGAAGTTGAAATTTAACTTTGAAAAACTGTTGCTAAAAAACTGTAGAATAAAGAATACCCTACTATGTTATGCATTAACGTTCGTCGAGCTGCAAACGTTTTACGGTATCTGTTCCAATTCTTGCAGAACACATTCAGAAAATAAGTTTCAGCGATGCAAACCTCATAAATTCCAAGGTCGATACCAGCATAAGGTATGATGCCAAGCATGTTTGGAAGATAGCCGCAATAAAACGCTCGCCAACCTTCCCCGTGATAGATCTGTCGCAGCGCGCTGACGATCCCTTCACTGAGCTCATAGGTTCGTCGCAACGCCAGCCTCGTTTTTAACACCTTAGCTATCAAATTCGTACGGCCCGCAGCGAAACAACAAAATACCTTACTTCCAAAGGATAAATGACACTCTGAGAAAGACTTCCAGCGATACTTCCTGCAGCAAAGCGCTCGTAGATCGACAGCTCTTTCGATGGATTACTCTTCTTCATCAAATCTTTCACCTATAACCAACCGTTAAAAATATCTCATTATCCCGGGAAATGACGCGTATTGGTACTATTCGTCAGGTATTTCAGCTCGTTCTGCAGGCCTCGTTCAGCGAGGCTATTATTTGCAAAAGAAATATTCTCTGCGCAAAATTACAGACGGGTAACAAAACCTAGACCCATGTTCTGATTCATTCAGATAAATCCAATTCAATAAATTCACTTTTATATACATGAGCATTTATATATTTTATATATATTTTGTGGAAAAACGGCAGAATAACGTAGAACACTTTCAACACTAACAGCGAGAAGCAGCTTGCTACGTGGAATGTATTAACGTTAAGCGGAGTGGAAATATTACATTTACTGGAGAAGAACTGCATTGGACAAGACTACAGGTAGATTCAACAGAAGAAACTCAATGACATGGATCAAGCATGATAACAGCTGCAAACTGTGGCTTCCACTGTACAGACATTACGACTGAAGATGGTGTGATGCTGAACGACAGTCAGTCGAAAGACAGAACCAGTTCTCATACA